TTACATAACACTGGTGTTAGCACCATATTGGGTCTTATTTGTTTTATTGTGCCCTCTTCTTCATCAGTTTGATTCACAACAACCTTCTACAATCATTCAAGATTTTTCAGTAAAATCAAAACCTTTTGTTCTAAAGCACTGCGAAAAAAGCATCACACAACACTGGTGCTAGCACCATATTGGATCTTATTTGTTTTATTGTGTCCTCTTCTTCATCAGTTTCATTCACAACAACCTTCTACAATCATTCAAGAATTTTCAAAAAAATCAAAAGCTTTTGTTCTAAAGCACTGCGAAAAAAGCATCACATAACACTGGTGTTAGCACCATATTGGGACTTAATTGTTTTATTTTGTCCTCATCTTCATCAGTTTGATTCACAACAACCTTCTACAATCATTCAAGAATTTTCCGTTAAAATCAAAACCTCTTGTTCTAAAACACTGCAAAAAAAGCATCACATAAGACTGGTGTAAGCACCATATTGGGTCTTATTTGTTTTATTGTGTCCTCTTCTTCATCAGTTTGATTCACAACAACCTTCTACAATCATTCAAGAATTTTCAGCAAAATCAAAACCTTTTGTTCTAAAGCACTGCGAAAAAAGCATCACATAACACTGGTGTTAGCACCATATTGGGTCTTATTTGTTTTATTGTGTCCTCTTCTTCATCAGTTTGATTCACAACAACCTTCTACAATCATTCAAGAATTTTCAGTAAAATCAAAACCTTTTGTTCTAAAGCACTGCGAAAAAAGCATCACATAACACTGGTGTTAGCACCATATTGGGTCTTATTTGTTTTATTGTGCCCTCTTCTTCATCAGTTTGATTCACAACAACCTTCTACAATCATTCAAGATTTTTCAGTAAAATCAAAACCTTTTGTTCTAAAGCACTGCGAAAAAAGCATCACATAACACTGGTGCTAGCACCATATTGGATCTTATTTGTTTTATTGTGTCCTCTTCTTCATCAGTTTCATTCACAACAACCTTCTACAATCATTCAAGAATTTTCAGTAAAATCAAAAGCTTTTGTTTTAAAGCACTGCGAAAAAAGCATCACATAACACTGGTGTTAGCACCATATTGGGACTTAATTGTTTTATTTTGTCCTCATCTTCATCAGTTTGATTCACAACAACCTTCTACAATCATTCAAGAATTTTCCGGTAAAATCAAAGCCTCTTGTTCTAAAACACTGCAAAAAAAGCATCACATAAGACTGGTGTAAGCACCATATTGGGTCTTATTTGTTTTATTGTGTCCTCTTCTTCATCAGTTTGATTCACAACAACCTTCTACAATCATTCAAGAATTTTCAGTAAAATCAAAACCTTTTGTTCTAAAGCACTGCGAAAAAAGCATCAGATATCACTGGTGTTAGCACCATATTGGGTCTTATTTGTTTTATTGTGTCCTCTTCTTCATCAGTTTGATTCACAACAACCTTCTACAATCATTCAAGAATTTTCAGTCAAATCAAAACCTTTTGTTCTAAAGCACTGCGAAAAAAGCATCACATAACACTGGTGTTAGCACCATATTGGGTCTTATTTGTTTTATTGTGTCCTCTTCTTCATCAGTTTGATTCACAACAACCTTCTACAATCATTCAAAAATTTTCCGGTAAAATCAAAACCTTTTGTTCTAAAACACTGCAAAAAAGCATCAGATAAGACTGGTGTTAGCACCACATTGGGTCTTCTTTGTTTTATTGTGTCCTCTTCTTCATCAGTTTGATTCACAACAGCCTTCTACAATCATTAAAGAATTTTTAGTAAAAACAGAACCTTTTGTTCTACAGCACTGCAAAAAAAAGCATCACTTTACACTGGTGTTAGCATCATATTGGGTCTTATTTGTTTTATTTTGTCCTCATCTTCATCAGTTTGATTCACAACAACCTTCTAGAATCATTCAAGAATTTTCCGGTAAAATCAAAACCTATTGTTCTAAAACACTGCAAAAAAAAGCATCACATAGGACTGGTGTTAGCACCATATTGGGTCTTATTTGTTTTATTGTGTCCTCTTCTTCATCAGTTTGATTCACAACAACCTTCTACAGTCATTCAAGAACTTTCGGTAAAAGCAAAAACTTTTGTTCTAAAGCACTGCGAAAAAAGCATCACATAACACTGGTGTTAGCACCATATTGGGTCTTATTTGTTTTATTGTGTCCTCTTCTTCATCAGTTTGATTCACAACAACCTTCTACCATCATTCAAGAATTTTCAGTAAAATAAAAACCTTTTGTTCTAAAGCACTGCGAAAAAAGCATCACATAACACTGGTGTTAGCACCATATTGGGTCTTATTTGTTTTATTGTGTCCTCTTCTTCATCAGTTTGATTCACAACAACCTTCTACAGTCATTCAAGAACTTTCGGTAAAAGCAAAAACTTTTGTTCTAAAGCACTGCGAAAAAAGCATCACATAACACTGGTGTTAGCACCATATTGGGTCTTATTTGTTTTATTGTGTCCTCTTCTTCATCAGTTTGATTCACAACAACCTTCTACAGTCATTCAAGAACTTTCGGTAAAAGCAAAAACTTTTGTTCTAAAGCACTGCGAAAAAAGCATCACATAACACTGGTGTTAGCACCATATTGGGTCTTATTTGTTTTATTTTGTCCTCATCTTCATCAGTTTGATTCACAACAACCTTCTACCATCATTCAAGAATTTTCAGTAAAATAAAAACCTTTTGTTCTAAAGCACTGCGAAAAAAGCATCACATAACACTGGTGTTAGCACCATATTGGGTCTTATTTGTTTTATTGTGTCCTCTTCTTCATCAGTTTGATTCACAACAACCTTCTACAGTCATTCAAGAACTTTCGGTAAAAGCAAAAACTTTTGTTCTAAAGCACTGCGAAAAAAGCATCACATAACACTGGTGTTAGCACCATATTGGGTCTTATTTGTTTTATTGTGTCCTCTTCTTCATCAGTTTGATTCACAACAACCTTCTACAATCATTCAAGAACTTTCAGTAAAATCGAAACCTTTTGTTCTAAAGCACTGCGAAAAAAGCATCACATAACACTGGTGTTAGCATCCTATTGGGTCTTATTTGTTTTATTTTGTCCGCATCTTCATCAGTTTGATTCACAACAACCTTCTACAACCATTCAGGAATTTTCCGGTAAAATCAAAACCTTTTGTTCTAAAACACTGCAAAAAAAGCATCACATGAGACTGGTGTTAGCACCATATTGGGTCTTATTTGTTTCAGTTTGATTTACAACAACCTTCTACAATCATTCAAGAATTTTCAGTAAAATCAAAACCTTTTGTTCTAAAGCACTGCAAAAAAAGCATCACATAACACTGGTGTCAGCACCATATTGGGTCTTGTTTGTTTTAGTGTGTCATCTTCTTCATCAGTTTGATTCACATCAACCGTCTACAATCATTCAAAAATTTTCAGGAAAATCAAAACCTTTTGTTCTAAAGCACTGCAAAAAAAGCATCACACAACACTGGTGTTAGCACCATATTGGGTCTTATTTGTTTAATTGTGTCCTCTTCTTCATCAGTTTGATTCACAACAACCTTCAACAATCATTCAAGAATTTTCAGTAAAATCAAAATCTTTTTGTTCTAAAGCACTGCGAAAAAAGCATCACATAACACTGGTGTTAGCACCATTTTTGGTCTTATTTGTTTAATTGTGTCCTCTTTTTCATCAGTTTGATTCACAACAACCTTCTACAATCATGAAGAATTTTCAGTAAAATCAAAACCTTTTGTTCTAAAGCACTGCGAAAAAAGCATCACATAACACTGGTGTTAGCACCATATTGGGTCTTATTTGTTTTATTGTGTCCTCTTCTTCATCAGTTTGATTCACAACAACCTTCTACAATCATTGAAGAATTTTCAGTAAAATCAAATTCTTTTGTTCTAAAGCACTGCGAAAAAAGAATCACATAACATTGGTGTTAGCACCATATTGGGTCTTATTTGTTTTATTGTGTCCTCTTCTTCATCAGTTTGATTCACAACAACCTTCTACAATCATTCAAGAATTTTCAGTAAAATCAAAACCTTTTGTTCTAAATCACTGCGAAAAAAGCATCACATAACACTGGTGTTAGCACCATATTGG